TTAAATAACACACACATCAGAAATATTGTAAGGGAGTCGGGTGTGGTGGTACATGCATGTAATCCCAGCATTCAGGAGGCTGAGCCAGGAGGATTGCTGGGAGTTTGAGGCCACCCTGTGATACATAATGAGTTTAAGACAAGCCTGAACTGCATAGTGAGACCCCATCTCAAAACAGAACGAAACAAAGAGAAACTGAGAATAATTTAGAGTTGAAGGATGAGGAGTACACATGCTAAATCCCTGGGGTGCGGCTAATTCCATACTTCCCAGAAAGCAACTGCTTCACACGCTTCGACTGGAGAAGAAGAGGCTTAACGACTGTTTCCATCTTAAGATTCTAGAAGGCAGAGGAGCAAATTGCTCTTCCAGCAAGAAGAGAAGTGAAGAGGTCATAACAGGAACAGGTGAGACAGAAATCAAAGAACGGAGAAAGTTGGAGAGACTACAAGTTGGTTCTTTAAGAGATTAATACAATGAATAAATTCTTAGCAATGTTGATCCATCAAAAAGAGAGAAAAGGCAAATTACCAATAGCAGGAATATTAAGAGAAGCACAGAAATCCTACAGAAAATAAATATTACACATAACATTAGGCCAACCAATTTCACAACTAAAATGCAATGGGCAGATTGCTTGTAATCACAAAACAGAGGTGAAAAGAAAGAGCAACTATGAATACATTACAAAAGAGATGAAATTCGTCGTTAAAAGTTTTCCCTGATGTGCTGTAGCTTCCCAGCATGCCCGAGGCCTTGGGTGCAGTGCCCAATTCAAAACAAAACAAGAAGAACTTTCCCACCAAGAAAAACCAATCCCTGATGCTTTGACTTAAATTCTACCAATAATTTAAGAAAAAAAAAATACCAATATTACCCAAATTCTTTCAGAAAATGTAAAAGGAAGAAACACTTCTCAGTATATTTTGTAAAATCGCCAGTTACTTGGTATCAAAAGCTGACAGAGACTTTGCTAACAGAGAGAATTACAGACCAATGTTTTGTGTCATAGATATGGACGTAGAACCCTCAGAAAACATTTTCAGTTTGAATCCACCCATATGTAAAAAGGGCAGTTCACTGTGAGCAAGTGGGGTTAATCCCAGGAATAGAAACTTGGCTTAACCTTTCAAAATCAGTCAGTGCAGTTTACGACACTAAGCTAATCCATGATGCTTTAAATGTATACTCCTCACAGCAGATTTAGACAACCACTAGCAAACTCAAACCCATTCTTGATGAAATGCACACCCACCACGGAGCACGGGGAAATGGCCCCCGCATGAGAAAGTGTGGCTGCACAAGCAACCCTAGCACCGTGGTGATGGTCAGACGTGGAATGCTTCCCTCCTAATGCCACACTGAGCAGAAACCCCAGGATTTGCAGGCAGGCTTATTTACGTCGAAGGGCACTGACCAGGATCACTCCCAAAGTATCAGGCCCTGATACTGGTGGCCTAGGGTGTAGATGGAGTTTGCAAGCCGGAAGCACAGAAGCGGAGTGCTGGTCTGTCTTTGACTGATTCTTACAATGTGCATCACAGTGAGCAGCTGCGCATCACCGTGACCAGCCGTCTCTAAGAAACAAAAGCAACAGGAACTTTTACCTGGGCAACTAACAGACACGGAAGTATGCTGGGGGGGTGGCGGGGGGGCATTTTCTGCTACACTGACATTGCTGGGAAGGCAAGTTGTCTGTTTTCACCACTTCCATCCACTCCTGGACGTTCTAGCTAGAGGAGTAGAAGACAAGAACAAAGTGAGAACGTTAAGCTTGCAAAGGACAAAGGGAAGCTATCTGTATTGGTAAACAAGGTGACTATTTAAATAGAGACTCTTAAAGAAACTGTAAGCAGCTAGCAGAAACAAACTTGAACATATGTAGCATGTTAGTATGAAACCCACATAACACTAGGTTAGCAGCAAACACTGTGAAATTTTGAGAAGTGTCATTTTAAAAAACCAGTCAAAGAAATAACCACCAAATAACTGTTAGGAATAAATTTAACAGAGTGTAAGACCTGTATATTGAGAATCATAAAACATTTCTGGAGGAAACTAAAGACAGTGAGTGAAGGCTCTACCACGTTCGTGAGGTGGGAAACGGCTTTGCTGAGTTGTCGGTGCCACTGTAAACCGTGGCTTCTCCACAGTCCTCGGCAGTGCTGCCACAGACCTTGTGTACAAGCGAGGTTTGTACACAAGAAAACCCAAGACAACCTTGGGGAAGAAAATCTAATTTGGAGGATTCAGTTTCACCGATTTGTAAAACTTGTGGTATAGCCACAATAGCCATGCTGATGTGAGTGGGAGAGATAGATCTACACCACACGGCGCCTTGCGGCCAACAGAACCGCTAGCGCAGTGCGGCAGGAGAAAAGCATTCGCACAAAAGGTGCTGCATCCTGGCTGCCCGAATGCAAAGCATGGACTTCGTAACCATCCCACCCTGCTCAGAGACCAAAGAGGGACAGACGATGGACAACGAGAGGACCAGAGCAGAAAGCTTCAAGAAGAACCCATAGGACTACGTGACTGGGACCTAGGATTCGGCCAAGAATTTTTAACCATAGATGCCAAAATATTAACCATGAATAAAAATTTGAAAACTCAAAAGTTTACAAAATTAAATGTTTCTGTTTATCAAAACAGATGGTTTTGATTTTATGTGGTTATTTAAACATTGTGTACAGATATATATACCAAAGTATATTTAAAATATTCCTAGTACCCAAAATATGGAAATGTGACCTCATCCTATGGTATAATTATTTTTCTTATTGGAAGCTTTTATCGCAAGTAAACAACCTACTTCTTTTTCTTTTTTTTGAGATAGGATTTCACTATGCAGTTCAGGCTGGCCTTGAGCTCACTTTGTAACCCAAGCTGGCCTCAGACTCACAACAATCCTCCTGCCTCAGCCTCTCAGGTGCTGGAATTATAGGTGTGCACACAAGTTACTTTTCAAACAGTTATTTTATTCTGTCAAACTCTGCTCATGAAAAGAATGCAGCAGGAAGTGCAGACGGGTAGAAAATGTTGATAGCACACACATCTTTCAGAGGATTTGCATCCAGGATGTATAAAGCACTCCTACCATCAGTAATAAAAAGATAAGCTTTTAAAACTAGGCCAGAGACTTAAATGGACACTACGTAGAAAGACATTAATGGCCAAGACACGCGTGAAAGGTGTCCAGCCTCCTCCAATGTCCAAGAAAATAAGCTTAAGACACAGTGTGCTGCACTGACCCTGACGACCGGCTAGGAGGAAAGAGAGGCCACAGCCGAGAGTTAGCGAGGGGCACTCACAGGCCCCTCAGAGCTTCCTGACTTCTGCTTATTGAGGTTAAGGTCCACTTAGCCTGTGACCCAGCAATTCACACTTAGGTGTTTCCTGGAGCAAAGATGGATCTGTTTATCCACCTTCCCATTTATCCATCTTTCTCCACAACATACCTCAGCAAAACATCCTTACAGCAACTCCAATCCTAATGCTGCACACCTGGAAACGTTCCAGATGTGAACTCCGGAGCATATTACAGCGTATCCACCAGTGATCTTCTGATTCATGAGTAGAATGACTAGTCAGGCACGGTGGCACAGCCTGTAATCCCAGCACTTGGGAGGCTGAGGCAGGAGGATCACCGCAAGTTTGAGAAAAGCCTGGGCTACATAGTGAGTTCAAGGTCAGCCTGACCTGCATAGCGAGACCTTGTCTCAAAAAAGCAAAACAAAACAAAAAGGATGGCTGTTGATACATGAACCATACATGAGTCCCAAAATGATTATGTGGCTGGCAAGAAGTCATTAACAATGAGAAATATGCTGACGTTTTCCTGGAGCTGAAGAGTGGGTAAAATTCACAAAGGAAGTCACGCTTCAGAATTGTTTCCTGGGGGGCGGGGGGCGTGGGTTGACCAGAAGGGGGCGCAAGAGAACTTTGTGAAGCGGCAGAGGTACTAAGTGCATTTACCAAAACGCAGAATTGGACAGTTGTGAGCCGTGTGCTTACTCTAACTTGTACTGCAATAAAAATACAAAATAGTCTGAACAAAATATGTGATCTGATGCTCTGGTTTAAACAGTTTTTGCTCTCAGTGGGATATTTTGATCTGAAACAATTTGAGTCTGTTAAAGCGCACTTTTCCTCTGTTCAGAAAGGCAGATATTGTATCAGTCTGCCCAGTTGCCGTGTTCCCCACGGCTGGCAGGCTGCAGGCGGGGTGGGGGGCTCAGCTGAGGGCTCCAGGAGGGCTGCACAGTGCGGGACGGGTGAGCTCCCCGGGCCTCCTCACCTTGGAGCACCGCTCCCTCCACGGGGCCCCGGTCTTGGGACCCGTTTAACCCAGTTGCCTCCCAAAGCCTCCTCTGGAAATCCTCTACCCCATGTTGGACTCTCTGCGGAACGTGGGGAGCACGCCCCAGTCTGCTCACACGCACCCCGCCGGGGAGCAGGAGGTGGGAGAAGGCGCGTGACCACACCGCCAGTATGGGATCGCTGCTAAGGTTCAGGTTTGTTTCCGGAGTTATTTCAGCTTTTGCATAGTGGCAGCCCTTCCACACCTACAATTTTGTATCGTGGCGTTTGTTATTTAACATCACAACGTGAGAATTTTTTCTGTACTAAAAACCCTTCTTTCACACTCTCCTTTAAATAGCTACAAAGGCCTCATTGAGTGGCCTGCTGCGGTTTATTTATTCGTCATCCTGCGGTCGAATGCTGAGCTACTTTGCAGGGTTTTGCTAGTGTAAATACTGCTGTGATCAACACGCTTGTGCTTGGGGCTTTTTCCTGTAACAGATTCTTTCCACGGGTTAGAATTCCAGAAAATGGAAATTTTGGGTTGAAAGGGTACGGTTTGAACACACAGTGCCAAAGTCCCTTCCAAAAGGATGCCCCGATTTCCATTACCACCGCCGGGGCCAAGAAGAGCTTTGTGCGCGCTGCCAGGGGCGAGGCTGGTGCCACTAATGTGCCTCTTGGCTTGTTTCCAACAGGTAGGAGAATTCCGCTGCAGCCGCCCCCGGCGTGCTTGATCCCGGCTCCTCCGCCGGCCTGTGGCCTGGCCGCCGCTCCCCAGCCTCACCTGGACACGTCCCAGTCAGCACACGCCGTCCGTCCCCACCATCCATCCGCAGCCATGAACTTCCTCCGGCGACGCCTCTCCGACAGCAGCTTCGTGGCCAACCTGCCCAACGGCTACATGCCAGACCTGCAGCGCCCAGACAGCTCCACCAGCTCCCCCGCATCCCCGGCCACGGAGCGGAGGCACACGCAGCCCCTGGCTGCCTCCTTCTCCTCCCCGGGGTCCAGCCTCTTCAGCTCCTTCTCGGGCGCCATGAAGCCGTCCGCGTCAGCGCAGGCCGCCGCAGGGCCCGTGGAGCCTGCAGGGCCCTCCGTGCCTGTCGTGCAGAGGCCCAGGGTCCTGCTGGTGATTGATGACGCCCACACGGACTGGTGAGCAGGAAGTCGCAGGTGCCACGCCTTGGTCCTCGCACCCTGGCTGGGACAGGGGACAGCGCTCAGACGCTTGGTGCTTCAGACAGGGCTTCAGGGGTGGAAGTGACACGCCCCGGGTAGCTGTCACTCGCAGGTGCACGTCCCTCGCCTGCGCACTGAGGCCCGCAGTGGTGGCGGGAAGTGTGCGCAGCACTTGGGCAGCCGAGCCCGACCTGAGCAAAGCAAGGCTGTGACAGCCCAGGTCGCGCCGCTCTGAGTGCTTGTCCAGGGCTGTGGGTCGTGAGGGGTCTGAAATGGGCCCTGCCAGAGCCCCCGAGAGGGCTGTGTCCTACAAGGCTCACACTGGAACAGAGATGGCCACAGATCCTCTTTCCACCTCAGCCGCCTCCACGCCTCCCGGAATGAAGCCGTTGTGCGGTGGGAGGTCACGCAGGCCCATGGTCCTCTCCGGGGCCTGCCCCTGCAGCCCGCTGCCTCAGGAGCCTGGCGGGTTAACCTGGGGTGGCAGCGGGGCTGTGCTTTCCAACCCCTTCCCAACGCTCCCGGGCAGAGGCATCCTGGGGAAGAGGTTGGAGCGTGTGTCCAGCTCCCCAGAGTCACCCTGAAGGTGGTTCCAGGGCACGGGTCAATGCAAAGGTAGGCACTCGGGCTGGTGTGCTGCAGAGGCGCCGCTGGGTTACAGGTGCCGTTAGCCACCCCGCTTTGGAGACTGCATTGTGATCCGTACCGTTAGTCCGTCTGCACTCAGAATGTGTGGGTCAGGACCCGAGCCCGCCTGTGCAGATGTGGAAGTATCACCTGCAGGGCAGAAGACCTCACAGATTGGACGCACAGAACGGCCGGGCCAGGGGACCAGGTTGCACATACATGCGTCTCCGGGGCTGCCACACTGTCTGTTGGCACTTGGGGCATGCAAGCTACGCGGGTGAACTGTGCATGCAGGTGCTGTTACCCCACATGGTGCTCACCAGCCTCCATCCCTGGAGCGTTGACTCCTCAGGGTGACGGAGCCTGTGCTCTGGAGCAGAGCTGTCTGCCTCAGTGTCCAGTGAGCAGGGAGTGTGGCCGGCGGGTTCAGATGTCGGCGTCCTCGCTTCTCTGCTGGACTCCCTCGGGTTTAGCAGGGTGGTGTAACGCTCGCCTCCGTCCTGGTGCGTGTGAGAGTCTTCGGTGCTGCTTGTTGCCCAGAGCCTGGTCACGAGGCCTTGTGTACCTGCGCGCGTGGGGGCGGGGTACACCCTCGGGCCCGGTGTGGGGCCTGCTGTCTGCGCGGGTCGTGCTCCCCGGTGCTCATGCCCTGCGGTGGCCCTGCCCGTCTGTCTGCTTGTCAGTAGCTGCGGGGCCCCTGAGCCCTTGTTTCTCCTTCACCCAGCGTTTGACTTTGACGTTGAACATTCTCTGCAGAATGTATTATCTCTCCCTCCATTATTTGTTGAGAACGCTGCTTCCCGTATGGAGGTGGAGCTTAATAAACAGTAGTATGGGGCCGTGGCTGACAATGAGACGCCCTAGCCGGGCTGCCTGGCTTTGAAGCCCGTCTCTACCCCATGGGGGCTGCCCGGCCTGTGGAAGCGGCTGCATCTGAACACAGCACCTGTCTCATACGTAAGTAACTAATACGGAAGTGCTCAGTGTGGTCAGTAGACGGGAAGGTGCTGCCTAGTTGCGTCCGAGCATTGCTTCAGGCGGCTGCGACCTTCCCTTGTGACTTAACCATACAGACAGCAGCCCTGTGCAGCACCTGGGAGCCTGAGCCTGGGCCCGTGGGCAGCGTTGGCCCGCAGCATGGGGATCCCCGCTGCTCACCTTCCTGGCCAGCTCCGGGGCTGCGGTGGGCTGGTTGATCTCTGTCTCTGCCTGTGTGGTGTCGGGGGAGGCTCAGGGCTGGGGCTCAGGGCGTGGGACCGGGCGCTGGAACGACCAGAGTGTGAGTAAGTCTTCGGCGGTGCACACTGGGTCAGTCGTGGCCGAGGGGTCTCGGTATATTTTGTCACACGTCGCGTGCCCGCGCCGTAATTAGGTCTTACTGTCTGGGCGTCCTGGCCCCCTGCTAGATAAGAGGAAGCTGGGATCGGAACTGAGCCGGCAGGTGGCTCTGAATTCCTTGGCTGTGTGTGACGGGGCTCCTGTCACGGGCTGCTGCTGCTCTCACGGAGCTCCGTGCTGGAGTCCACGGACTCCCCGCTTCCCTGAGTCCCAGTACCTTCCAGCTGCCACCGGTGGGTGGGTGACTCTCAGTCCTGACAACCCAAGCAGCCAGCAGGTGGCAGGCCAGCCCCGCTGCCCAGGGTCCTTTGGCAGCCCCCTCCCCACTGTCCAGTGGGAACGGTCTCCAGAAGAGAGAAGCCGCTCGCCAGGTCCCTTTCTTCCCCTTGGAGATGATGGGGCGGGCGGTGAGCCAGGCTGCACTCAGAGTGAACCCACACCGCCACGCCCCATGTGGCAGTGGCCCCTTCGCTGCCCTTCCCGCCCCAACAGGACTCTGTCACCGCTTCTCCCTCTGGGGTCCTGCAGCATAGACGTCCTCGGGGGCCAGGGAGGACGTGCCAGCCCTCCCCCACCCCGCTTGGCTCAGCAGGCAGGGCCTTGGACCTGCGGAGGATCCTGCACCTTCTGAGGGTCTCTCTAAGCCTTCTCCCCAGAAGAAGGGCTGCACATCTGAAGGGGTCGCAGAGCGCCGGGCCCCCGAAGGCCTGCAGAATGAAGACTGACGCTCGGTGCTTGAGCTCAGCCTCCTTCCACCCCCAGCTTCGGCCCTGGTTCTCTTGCCTAGAGTTTGCCAGCCGCCTCACGAGGGCCAGCCTCGCCCTGGCCCCCAGCTCCCTCCCATCGTCCCCTCCACGTGTCCTCTTTCTGAACCCTAAATCAGCTTCGACTTACTCCACCCAGCCCGTACCCCACACCGCCCACTTCACCTCCCTTCCAGCACACCCTCGCCTCCACTCCGTGCACGTCCTGTTCCCTCCCTGTGCGGCCTGCACAGGCTCTGCCTCCGCTCTGACACACACCCGCCGCGGTGCTGGTCACACATCCCTCGAGTGACCTCAGACACAGTGCCCGGGGGCTGCAGGACGCGGCCGCTGAGTTGTGGGACGGGTCCTGTCCCCCTTTCCCTCACGGCCCTGGCGCCCAAGAGACTGCTTTCCTTCTGCACACGCCCTTGTCGCTGTCTCCGGGCCGGTCCAGCGGGGTGACTTGTGATGTGTGCAGTGGTCCTGAAGCCGCTCTTCCTGGGGCGCAGCCCAGGCCAGATTCCTGTCTGGCTTTGGCTGGGTGCGGATCTCGGCCCTTTGCTTAGCAGGGTACCACAGCCACCCGTGGCCGATGTTGGAGATTGTTAGGACAGAAAAGGGAAGGGACATTTTCACTATTGCTGTAGAGGGTGCCAAAACCCCAGGTCGATTTTCTATCCAAATCCTTGAAGATAGAGGAGGTTGGGGGGCGCTGTCCTCTCCCCAGGGCATCTGGGGCCTGGGCGGAGCAGGGCGAGAGCAGCTCGGCCTTGGTGCCTCGGGGCCTCCGCGCCCAGTCCCTCTCCTGCAGCCTGAGTGAGGCCTTTCCCCAGTGTCTGGATTCCATCCCCACCGTCATCCGCCGCTCCGTTGCCCTGCCTTCCCCAACCTCTTCCACGGTTCCTTTTCTCGTACTCGGAGGAGAGAAGCGCAGAGGTTGCCTTGGTTTCAGACTTCCCTGCCCCTGGCCACCCCGGTGCCCCAGCCGAGGCCGCCGTGGGCCCGCACCTGAGTGCATCTCCACAGCGTCACCGCACGGTGGGCTGCCTGGTCCCCGGCAGCGCTGCAGCTGCCCACCCGGAGGAGATCCCGGGCCCCGTGTAAAGCAGGGCGGATGATGGCGTGGGGAGATGGCTGGGGCTGCGTGGGACCCGGGAGCCGGCGTGTCCCCTCAGTGAGTGGCGGGCGGCGGTGGGCTGGCCTCGGGGTACACTTGAACCCCTTCTGTGCTCTTGTCCCCTCGATTCAGCAGGAAGTCAGGGAGGCCGTGCTAGGCGCCTGCACCGCGCGCCCCGAGGTCGCCGTGCTGAGGTCAGGGCTCTCCCGCAGGCTCTGCTCCCCACACTTCCCTTCGCTGGCTTGGCCCGCTCTGCAGGAGAAGAAGCGGAGCACAGAGTCGCGGAACTGCCCACGACCCAGCCACGAGGAGAGGCCACGGCACAGCGCTGGGCCCTGCCGGGCCGCCTGGGGCCGCACGGCCTGCTGCGCGTGTGGGGCCAAGGCTCACGGACACAGGCAGGAGGGGCGCCTGTGGCTGCCTAGGTCAGGCTCTGCCCCACCACTACGGCGTGGCGTCCTCTGCGCTTTCCACGGGCAGACATGGTACCGCTGATGCCCTGAAACGGAACTAGTAACCAGAGGGAGTGAGCAAGGCCGTTCTTTTACAAATAAGGAAAGTGAGGCTCAGGCCCCACGTTTAAACGGGTCTGGGGCTGGGGCTGGCTCAGGCCTGGGCATCATGTCCTCTCCTGTCTCCTAATTCCCACCTGGAGCCCACCCATATCCGACAGCACGTGAGGTGGCAGGACCCCACACCCAGCCCAGGGGCCACGCACAGGATCCAGCAGATCCGCAGACGAGAGTGCCCGCCAGAACCAGGCCCGCCCTGGCCAGGAGCCCAGAGAAAACCCTCCTGTCTCAGCCTAGCCAGCCAGTGGAACCTGTTGTAGAAATTGTCTTTGTGCGCAGGAGGAATATTTCCCCCCTTGTAAAGCAGGCAGGGCCTTTTCTGTTCTTTTCCTGTGTTTGATATTAAAGGTGCAATTTCCCAGCACATGTCACAGGTGGTTCCTGAGAAAGTCAGAGCAGGAAAGAGGAGGAACGGAGTGAATGCAGGGTTGAGGGTGGCACGGAGCCCAGGGCCCCACTCTGCTGCTCTCCGCTCTGTGCTCCTGGCCGGCTGCTTTCCTGCCTGAGCCTCAGTTTCTCCCCTTGTGAAGCGGGACCCTAATGTCACCACTGACGCTCTGGGGTGGCCACAGTGGC